GTAGTTATATAGTTAATGGTAGACAACACTACAGTTGTGTAGTTATATAGTTAATGGTAGACAACACTACAGTTGTGTAGTTATATAGTTAATGGTAGACAACACTACAGTTGTGTAGTTATATAGTTAATGGTAGACAACACTACAGTTGTGTAGTTATATAGTTAATGGTAGACAACACTACAGTTGTGTAGTTATATAGTTAATGGTAGACAACACTACAGTTATGTAGTTATATAGTTAATGGTAGACAACACTACAGTTGTGTAGTTATATAGTTAATGGTAGACAACACTACAGTTTGGTAGTTATATAGTTAATGGTAGACAACACTACAGTTGTGTAGTTATATAGTTAATGGTAGACAACACTACAGTTGTGTAGTTATATAGTTAATGGTAGACAACACTACAGTTGTGTAGTTATATAGTTAATGGTAGACAACACTACAGTTATGTAGTTATATAGTTAATGGTAGACAACACTACAGTTGTGTAGTTATACAGTTATTGGTAGACAACACTACAGTTGTGTAGTCATACAGTTATTGGTAGACAACAACACTACGAAGTTTTTCAAGGTTCACTTCATTCGTTAAAACTTTTAAAAATCTATAAGAAAAATGCGAGATTTCGATATTTCTTGACTTTCTTTTGGCTTTTCTATTTTATTTAATATTTTCGGAAATCCTATTCTAAGAATATTTGGTTTCGAATTTTTCAAAATCCAATTTAGCCATTTTTATATAAATTTCGTGAATTATCAAGCACAAAGGACAAATAAGATACAAAAGGTCTTCTATTTAAGATTCATCGATGTTTAAATGTTTGACGTTGACCACATTAGTTATTACCTGGAAAACAGTTTAACTTCTAAAAAAGTTTGAAGGTTATCATAAAGATCATTCTCCAGCAACTGACCTGAACCAACATTTCTAATTTCTCAAGCAATTTCATTCAAATTTCAAAGTTTCATCAAAACAGAATAATCTTCAGGTTGTCTTCCATCTTACCGAATATATCAGTATTAATATTTTGAGTCGAAAAAGTGAAGCATTCTTTAGTTTATAAATGAAAATATTCCTATTTAATAAAATTGGCAAATTTGGTTATGAAGCACAATGGCAACACGAACCTTGCTATCTGGAAGAGACACCAGGGCTGAAAATTTGAAGCCGATCAGATGAGGCATTCCCCAGTTACCTTTCTGATTTTAGGGTTTCCAGGTTTATTAAATTAGTACGATGAAAAATTTGTCCACATACAAAAACTTAATGATTACTATCCTTCCAAAAGCTGCATCATATTTAAATAGTGAAAGGATTAAGTAACGTTACACTTAAAACAAGTTCCCACATGTACATCTATACATCTTAATTTCATCCTGCCATCTATTACTTAGAAGAAGTCAAATTATCTTAGTCGTTAAGTGGGTTTTGGAAGAAACTGAAATAATTCCACGATGGGAATGAGGCACCTGCAAACGCCAGTTGTTCCAAGAATCTTGGCCTAGTTACCGTACCACAGCGGTGAAAAATGTAAATCCCATAGAATGAGGCCCGAAAAATATGATAAAATGGAGAATAATTCATGGAACCGCTAAAGTTCTTCCTTCAGGAATATGTAATAATGTTTTGCTTAGAGCCTGCTAATGGACCGGGCCGAAGGGGCGTTGATCCTCGGAACACCCTCCAGGTATACTCCAGGTATACTCCAAGGCAGAAGATGGTAAGTGAGGATTCATCTCTTCACAGACAATAGAACTGGCTTCTTCTTTCATAGATGTTTTTGCATCAGAATCCACGGGATTGGAGAAAATCGAAATAGAAGTGGTGATAACGCACTAGAAAAAAGGCAAAGAGAATAAAGAATGTGATCTCCGGCCATGTTTTGCACAGGATACTTTACAGTTCAAAAGTTAGTGATCGAATGTCAACTCGGAAATACTGTAGCAATGATGAGAAGTCTGAGGTTTCACTCTGCTCACTGGAATAGAAAGCTCATTCCAGTTCTGCTGAATTCAGTCAAAGAAGTAGACCGACTTGCAGTCACTGTCAGCACCATTAACAGGTAATGTCAGCTGCGTGGAGTCCCTTAGCTTGCCAGTGCATTGTTCTCAGGTGTATGTGCTTGTCTTGAACAATGTTGGAAAGGAAACTTCATTACGCTTGCCGCCGGTACCTGGTGACAGTCAGGATGACTTGGGTCTACAAGTGTTTGTTGTGGGCTCCCACCAACCCTTAAAATTTCCTTGCTAAAGAGGTTCAACTCACAATGGAATTTCAATGACCAGTCAGGCTTTGCTATATATCTGGAGAATGAAGAGATTCTTCTAGTCATCGGCAAAGATGACAGAAAAAGTGCTTCAGTTCGCGCACAAGGCTCTGTAATAAAATAATACCGAGATGACTACAGAAAATTCATTGGGTTATTAACCTCTTCCTTGAAACAAAGAATCCCTGCTAGCATTTCAAGTGTCCAGGATCAATACATCAAGCACGACAGACAAAATTCTTGTACTGCCTGATGAAATAGATGTTTCAGAAGCAACTGGAGAATCTCACTCCTCGACAGGAAATTTGCCTTAAAGATGTGAGCGTATATGCAGGGACCATCTTCCGGAAAGTCTGGATCACGGCTCCGATCACTGCAGCAACATCGTTCAACGATCTGCAGCGTCTTCAAAAAAAATTGTCAGTCCACAACATGAGAATTTCAAAAGAAGCAGAGTCAAGATTCTAATCCCTTTTGCGGTACTTGTCAAAGGAAATGGTGGGATTAGCTCTGTGGGATTCTTCTGATTCTGCTGAAAGCAAAACAAAAATCTTCAAGCAATGGCAATGAAGGAAGGTGATCACGATTGTCCAAATCGTGTGAACCTTCCACAAGGTACCTTATAAACTGTGGATTCCTTGGTCACAACAAACTCCCTAAAGCTTCTTCAATCCCACAATATCAACCGCGTCTTCCTGAGCAAAGATCCGCATACTTAAGCCTCAAATGAGGACTTCCAAGAGGCTCTCCGTAAGGTGAGAAACAGTAAAATCATCAACCACATGGTGACTGCGGGCTGCTCTAATTCAGGAATACAGCGGAAAGCACACGAAGAATAAAGAGTAACTACAGTATCTAGTGCAAGTTGTCGACAGCCACCGTAGCAAACCTTCAGAAACTACGAAGAAGTTATGTGACAAGAGCACAACAGTGAGCATGTGATGTGATGAATCCCGTCCTAGATGTGGAGACCCACGGGTCGTCTTGAGGTAACCTCGTATATATGACTCTCTTATGAAGCCATGCACATCTAGATGGTCGGATAATATGTTATAATTGTGTGTTAACATGCTGTAATTGTGCGTTAATATGTTGTAATTGTGTGTTAATATGTTGTAATTGTGTGTTAATATGATGTAATTGTGTGTTAACATGCTGTAATTGTGTGTTAACATTTTGTAATTGTGTGTTAATATGTTGTAATTGTGTGTTAATATGATGTAATTGTGAGTTAACATACTGTAACTGTTTGTTAATATGCTGCATCTGTGTGTTAATATGTTGTAATTGTGCGTTAACATGCTGTATTTGTGTGTTAACATGCTGTAATTGTGTGCTAATATGTTGTAATTGTGTGTTAATATGTTTTAATTGTGTGTTAACATGCTGTAATTGTGTGTTAATATGTTCTAATTGTGTGTTAACATTCTGTAATTGTGTGTTAATATGTTGTAATTGTGTTAACATGCTGTAATTGTGTGTTAACATGCTGTAATTGTGTGTTAACATGCTGTAATTGTGTGTTAACATGCTGTAATTGTGTGTTAATATGTTGTTATTGTGTGTTAACATGCTGTAATTGTGATTAATTTGTTCTAATTGCTTTGTTATGCTGTAATTGTGTGTTAATATGCTGTAATTGTGTGTTAACATGCTGTAATTGTGTGTTAACATGCTGTAATTGTGTGTTAACATGCTGTAACTGTGTGTTAACATGCTGTAATTGTGTGTTAACATGCTGTAACTGTGTGTTAACATGCTGTAACTGTGTGTTACATGCTGTAATTGTGTGTTAACATGCTGTAACTCTGTATTAACATGTTGTAATTGTGTGTTAACATGCTGTAATAGTGTGTTAACATGCTGTAATTGTGTGCTCACATAATGATATTGTGTGATCACATGTAATTGTATATGCACATGATGTAATTACATACCCACTATGTAAATATGTGCCCACATACTAAACTTATGTACCCACATACCTCTATTATTATACCTACATACTACGATTGTGTACCCACATAATATAATTGTGTACCCACATACTACATTTATGTACCCACATACCACAGCTGTGTACCAACATATTACAACTGTACCAGCATACTGCCCCTTTATACTCTCATTTAGCGTTTATATATATATATATAAAATATATATATATATATATTATATATATATATATATATATATAAAAATATATATATATATAATATAATATATATATATATACATGTCGTGCCGAATATGTAAAACTGGTCAGTTAGCAAGAACTCATTTAAAATTAAGTCCTTCTGAAATTTTCTCTTATACGTTTAAAGATATATTTTTTTCATTTATGTTAATGTAAAAAAAATTAATTTTGCAACCAAAAGAATCTTAGAAAAACTTACCTAACCTTATTATAACAAGAACAATTTATTTTAGCCTAACCCAACAAAATGTATTTTAGATTTTGTTTACAATAATTTAATACTAAACAAAAACAGTGAAATATATTTTTTTCGTTAGGTTCAGAATGATTTTGGAGAAATTATTGCATAAACAAATTTTCACTTGTCCTATATGGCAAGATGAGCGTTGCTATTTAAGCCAAGATCGCAAGTTCTGCCTATTCGGCACGACATATATATTTATATATATATATATATATATATTATATATATATATATATATATATATATATATATATATATATATATATATATATATTTGTTATAACAGGGAAATGTGACTTCTACACGTCGAGGGAGACGTACTTAGCTTTCTCAGCTTCAGTTATAAGCCAGAAAGACAACCCTATTTTACCTGCCTTAAAATACAGGTAATAATTAGTCTGCAGATTATGTGAAAGAAAATCATACTTAATGTGAAGCTAGAATTAGTATAATCTACTTCTGTAAATAATCTATAGCTGGTGTAAATGAAAGATAACTATAATATACAATTACTGTGAATGAACGCTATATATTATATGCAGCTGGAGTAAGATCTAACGGTTATGCAATATACATCATGCATGTCTGGAAATTTTCTTCCTATTAGGTATTCCCAGAAAGGTATAATAATAATAATAATTAATAATAATAATACAGATAATATTCTTATTTTATAGATATATGATATAATAACATGTTTATTTTACACTATCTGTATGTTAAATTCATTTAGCTATGTGTCCATGGGAGTGCAAGACACGATCTCGGAGTATGCAACATATGTCACGCCCATCTCGGAGTATGCAACACATGTCATACCCATCTCGGAGTATGCAACATGTGTGTGTCAGTAACAGTCTTCAACACATCTGACGCAGCAGGGTGACTACCTAAGGTGATAAAAACAGCAAACGTAGTTTCAATTTTCAAGAAAGGAGACAGACACGCAGTATTAAATTACAGACCAGTGTCACTGGCATGCATAGTATTCAAAGTCATGAAGATTATCAGGAGAAGAGTGGTGGAGCACCTAGAAAGGAATGAGTTTATCAGTGACAACCAGCACAATTTCAGGGAAGAGAAATCTTGTGTCACAAACCTACCGGGGTTTTACGACAAGGTGACGGAAGTAAGACGAGAGAGAGGAATGGGCAGACTGCATTTTCTTGAACTGCAAGAAGGCTTTCGACACTGTTCCACGCAAGAAATTAGCGCAAAAGCTAGAGGATCATTCAGGTATAATAGAAAAGTCACCGCAATGGATCAGAGAATACCTGACAAGAAGGCAACAACGAGTCATGGTACGTGACGAGGTGTCAGAGTTGGAGCCTGTGACGAGTAGGGTTCCACAGGGGTCAGTCACAGGACCGGTGCTCTTTCTAGTATGTATGAATGACATAACAGAAGGGAAAAACTCAGAAGTGTCCCTGGTTGCAAGTGATATGAAGTTAATGAGGAGAATTCAGTCGGAGGAGGACAAGGCAGGACTGCAAAGGGATCTGAACAGGCTGCATGCCTGGTCCGGCAACTGGCTCCTGGAGTTCAACCCCACCAAATACAAAATCATGAAGATCGGAGAAAGGCTAAAAAGACCGCAGAGTAGAGTAGAGTCTAGGGGGGAAAGACTACAAACCTCACTCAACGGAAAGGATCTTGGGGTGTGTATAATACCGAGCACATCTCCTGAGGCGCACATCAAATAACTACTGCAGCATATGGGCGACTAGCGAGCCTAAGAGTAGCATTCCGACATCTCAGTAAGGGGTCGTAAAGGACGCTGTACACCATGTACGTCAGGCCCATACTGGTTTATGCAGCTCCAGTTTGGAACCCACACCTGACCAAGCACGTCAGGAAATTATAGAAAATGCAAAGGTTATCAATGAGTAGTCCCGGAGCTAAGGGGCATGTCCTACGAGAAGAAGTTAAGGGAACTCAACCTGACGACACTGGAGGACAGGAGGGACAGGGGGTACATGATAACGACATATAAAATACTGAGAGGAATTGACAAGGGACACAGCAACAAGGAGACACAATTGGAAGTTGAAGACAATGAATCACAGGGATGTTAGGAAATGTTTCTTCAGTCATAGAGTTGTCAGGAAGTGGAATTGTCTGGAAAGTGAGGTGCTAGAGGAAGGTACCATACATGGCTTTAAGAAACGGTATGATAAAGCTCATGGAGCAGGGAGAGTGTGGGTCTAGTAGCGACCAGTGAAGAGGCAAGGCTAGTAGCTATGACTCGACCCCTCCATCCACAATTAGATGAGTACACACACACACTCTAGCTCTCTCTCTCTCTCTCTCTCTCTCTCTTTACACAGTGTTATACAGGGTTACACAGGGTTCTACCTTAATTTACAAGCTAAGAGCTGTTACCTACATCAGCTCATTTGAAAGTCGTTTTGTTTTGAAACATACATATGTGGAACAGAATGAAGTTGGAGCCATCTGTGGGCCAGTGATTTCATTTGCTCAAATGACATTGTTACGTTGATGTCATTATGGTGTGCGAACATGTTCTAGACGCGAGTCATCATACGATTATTTATTCAGATGAAGTGATGTTCTGGGTAAGGGTACAGTCTGCGTGTAGTTGTTACTTGCTGCCCGTCTTGTTGTACAGAAGCTCACATTTCACTGTCCTCAGAGTGTAGCCAAGTGTGGTACATAGAAAAATTGGCCTAGTACATAACAGTAAGGTCACCAACATCCCTCCTGTGTTTAAGGCTCTGCTCAAAATGATAGATTTATCCAGGCTGGGTCCAGGCGAGAGATTCGTAATCGTACTCTGCTCTCTAATCTTTCAAGGTGTGAGCTTACTGTGCCTGTACAGAATATTGCAACCCTACTGTCGACAATGCGAGATACATCACTGTTAGCTCCTGAATGTCTTGTTTGCAAGATTTAAAACGTGGATATTCATGGTCAGTTTGGAGTGAAATTTCACCCCAGGGATATCAACTTCGTCCCGGTACCAACACTCCCCCAAATTATTCTTACCATTGCTCAAGCATTCCCATCATGGTGCCTAGACCTCCATCATTGTGTTCTCTCTCTTTTCTCCCCTTCTCTCTCTCTCCTCTCTTTTCTCTCTCTCTCTCTCCTCTCTCTCTCTCTCTCTCTCTCTCCTCTCTCTCTCTCTCTCTTTATATATATATATATATATTTATAAAATTATATAATATATATATAAAATTAAATATACAGCGAACCAGGAAAAATCAATGCTGTCGAAGAATTTCCTCCCAAAATCTCAACTACAACCCGTCCAACAGTACCCTCTTGGGGCACCGCGGGGTCACCGGGCCATCGATACTGTCCTCAGACAAATTAAATGACCTTATGAAAGGGAGGAGAGAATAAGCGTTTCTTGATGCCCATGATGCTCTGTATCTCCTCACAAGGTGTCTTACTATGCCAAACTCATTTTACTTCTTGAGTGTGCCCCCTCTTTTGACAACCCAACACTCGATGAATATGACGCACACCTAGATCAACTTTTAAAAAGGCACTGAACCTGTCACTAGAGGAGAGCAATGGGATCAGGAAACCCCTCCCAGTGCGACTGGGAGGTATAGGGTGCGTAAAGAACGCATGTTGCTTTACCTGCTTTTCTGTCTTCGTGTTTGGGCTTCCATGCATTAGTCAAGAAATAGTGCCCGAACGCTTGAGAGACTTGGTAGGAGCTCAAGACCCCAGGTTTACTGAAGAAAGCAATTCGGTGGACACCCTTACAGACTCCTCCAGTAGACCAGCTCCTCCCAAACAGCACAAACATCCCACTGGACAAACCGATCATGGAAAAAACCCGCCAACAAAAATGCTCTCCAATGCTTCAGGAAAGAACAAAGCTCGTTCCCCTTTGGCAGTGAAGGCCCCAAACACTCAGGAGTTTTCCCTGTTAGCTGTTTCCCAATTCCTCCCTGGCACCCGTCTCGACCCACAGGCCATTGGGTTTGGTGTTGCTCTTCGCCAGCCGCCCCCATCCTCACCGAACATAGGTGTATTTGCGGCAGGCCGACAGCTGATCAATTCGGACTCCATGGTCTCGTGTGTCACACAGCAAAAAGGGAAGTATGCCAAAACATGAGGAGATCAATAAACATAATAAAGAGAAGCCTCGCCACAGCCCGTTGCCCAGCTCAAGGGGAACCCAATTTACAGAGGTCTGATGGAAGTCAAAAGCGTCCTGATGGAGCCACTATGCTACCCTGGAAGGGATGGAAAGCAGATTGCCTGGACTACACCTGGGGCTGCCACATTGGGAGACACCTACTTGCCATACTCTGTGTGGAAGGGGGTGGAGCTGCCAGCCACAGGAGACCCCGAAACCGAAAATATGAAGACCTTACCCCTTGCTATAACTTCATTCCAATAGGGGCGAGACCCTTGGGGCATGGGGCAAGTGTGCTCTAAAGTTCCTCAAAGAGCTGGGTGAAAACTCATCATAGAAACCAAGGACCACAGGGCGACCAGCTTCCTCTTTCAGAGACTCTGTTGCGATCCAGAGAGGAAATGCCTGCAGCATTCTGGGACGCGGCCCACCGCAGGGGCTGGACGAAGTTATTCAGATGTAGCTCTGAGTTACCTATGTTTTTTAACTTTGTATCATGTTTTTGTAAATGTTTCGTCAATGATTTTGTCTTTAAATAAAAAAATACATACATAATATAGGGAGTTAGGAGAAAATTCTCAAACAGCTTCAGGGAGAATCTTGATTTTCCCTGAAGCAAGTTTATTCTTTCTCTGAGGATGAGGGTCCCCATGACAGTTCTTTGAGGTGTACCTCCTATATTTATATATATATATATTTATTTATTTATTATTATTATCACACTGGCCGTTTCCCACCAAGGCAGGTGGCCCGAAAAAGAAAAACTTTCACCATCAAATTTACTCCCTCACTGTCTTGCCAGAAGGTGCTTTACACTACAGTTTTTACACTGCAACATTAAACACCCCTCCTTCAGAGTGCAGGCACTGTACTTCCCCTCTCCAGGACTCAATCCGCCTGCCGGTTTCCCTGAAACCCCTTCATAAATGTTTTCTTTTCTCAACTCCAACAGCACGTCAAGTATTAAAAACCATTTGTCTCCATTCACTCTATCAAACACGCTCACGCATGCCTGCTGGAAGTCCAAGCCCCTCGCACACAAAACCTCCTTTACCCCTCCCTCCAACCTTTTCCTACCCACCCCTACCCCGCCTTCCTTCCTCTACAGACTGATACACTCTTGAAGTTATTCTGTTTCGCTCCATTCTCTCCACATGTCCGAACCACCTCAACAACCCTTCCTCAGCCCTTGGACAACAGTTTTGGTAATCCCGCACCTCCTCACTAAGTCCAAACCCACGAATTCTCTGCATTATATTCACACCACACATTGCTCCAGACATGACATCTCCACTGCATCCACCTTCTCGTCGCTGCAACATTCATCACCCATGCTTCACACCCATTTTAAGAGCGTTGGTAAAACTATACTCTCATACATTCCCCCTCTTTGCCTCCAAGACAAAGTTTCATTGTCTCCAGAACTCCTAAGTGCACCACTCACCCTTTCCCCCTCATCAATTCTATGATTCACCTCATCTTTCATTAGACCCATCCGCTGACACGTCCACTCCCAAATATCTTGAATACATCACTTCCTCCATACTCTCTCCTCAATCTGTATCCAATCTTTCATCACCTAATCTTTTTTTTATCCCATAACCTTACTCTTTCCTGTATTCACTTCAATTTTTTCTTTCACCCAACCAAATTCTTTCCCAAATCCGCAATTTCCCTCTTCAGAATCCCCAAGAGCACAGTGCATCACAAAACAACTGGAAAACCCCCCACTTT